ATGATGTCAAATTTTGATATCAACATAGGCACATTAACAATTAACATCAAAGCGTTCTCAATAATTTCCAGAAGAAAATAAACTCTGCTCCAGGGCACAAAGTTTGGACAAGCTGTGGAAATAGCTGCTGTTTTGGAACAATGAGTGCGGCTGCTGTTTGGCGTGCTGAGAGGATTCCAGCGATTCCAGCCTTAACAAAAACTAAGTCAAGGCTTTATTGTGAATATCAGTGGGGAATTCAGCAGTCGCCCTCCCAGGCATACCAAAACTTATCCCTGAGACAGCACTACATGATGAACTAGTACCTGTAAGACTTCCTCTAATGCTTCCATTCTATAGCAAATACAGTGTAATTACAAGGCCCACACTGTGCGTATCCTCCATCATCATTAAATTAGGGGGTTTGTAAAGATGAGAAATTGACGGGGTTCTGCTTGGAGCCAGCAGGATCCTCATGGAAATTTACAGTACTCAAAATGGGAGGCCAACTCCTCTTTCATTTGTCTCTCATAACGGAGCTAAACATATATCGCTAACTAGGACGTCCTAAGAAATAAACCTGAATTTTGCAGGGAAAGCTGCAGAGAGTAAAGTAATAAGCTTTTGTTTAGTGGAAAAGTTGCACAGTCCTCTCCTGATAGCTTGTGTGTTATGGAAAAAAAAACGTGGAACGATGTGTACTGGTGAAAGAGCTCAGCTGCAGCTCGGTTTAATGTTGCGCTCACTTTCTGTCATGTTTGTTAATACCATCATCTGAAGATGGATATAATACATGGTGTGAGACCATTTTTAAAAGACGACATATCCAGTAAGTGCCACTCTAACAAAATCACGATATTAACATTTCATTCTGGTTTGCAAATCTCAAGTTAGTGGTTTGAATTTCACGCTGATCTTCACATCTAAAACTTCAAAAGAAAGTAAAAAAAACATGTTTGTAAAATATTAAATGAGACTTATTATGCTTTCTCTTAAATTTATAGATGCCCATTAAAAATATGCCCAAAGTTTCAAATAATAAAGAAACTGTTTGTCAAAGTAATCTCTGCACCAAAAGCTCAGGCTTCATACTCCACTCAACGTTTCAGATAGTTTTTTTCCCCACTCTTAAAGTTGTATGACAGCAAATATGTATGAGAGCAAATATCCTTACCAGTCATTTCAGTCAAAAAGCTCTGGATGTGTGCACAAAGCTAAACTGACCTGCTGTTCAAAGCTAGTTTAAAGGGAGAGAGGTCGCAATTGCTTACTTCATACAGTGGAAGAACTGAGGCCACACCAAGGCCCAATATTAGTGAAATAAGGATTATTTTAAATGGCAAAACATACAAAGCTTATCTAGGAGTGTCCTCAAAAAGACCAATATGGAAGATGAAAATGAACAGGTTCCCATTAAATTCACAAACAGTCGTGAAAATTTGGATGACTTTGAATTACTGCAACTGAAAACTTCTTTGACCAACACCTGACAGGATAAGCAACTGCTCAAACACTGAGAAAACAGTTTAACATTATTCAAACACATTGACACATTACACAAGTACAAAGCACATTTGAAGTATAGAAGTGTTAAGTTAATGAACTAGGTGAGTTTGCAGGGCTGATTCGAAGTCTTTATAAAGCTATTCTGTACTCGCTGTCAAAGTACTAATAATTAAGGCACTGCAATCTCACATCTCTACAATATATCTGCTTCATATTTATCAACTTGGAAATTTCCTTTTGCAACATAAAAGTTCATATCAACTAGGTGAAGTGTTACTGCAAATGTGACACACCCACTGTGTAAGAGGTTTCAAGAAGGAAGTGGCAACAGGTCCATTTCCTTCTTTCTGTCTTGGTCAAAGAATATAATATGGGGATGATGGATACTTGGCCTACATTCATTGGCGCCGACTCATTTTTACAGGACAATTGCACAGTCAAAGGCATGCATGGAGCGATACAAAATAGATGAGTGGGCTGCTTGATAGATAACAGAGCCAGTTCTACCAAGTCAACAATGACAGCAGGAAATCTCTGTAAACAAGTCAGATTACCAGGGTCATGAGGGAGTGACAACAAATGTGAGCAGTGTCACCTGTTCTCACTTTTACTCTTGCCATTACTAGGGCTTATTTAAAGATGAAACACTAGTGTGGAATCCAAGGATCCAACATTATTATAGACTGGGTGATAGCGTGAGTATTAAGAAAGCGTAGAATCACTTGTCAGATTAGTGTTGATGTTGAGACCAGAGATAATCCTCAAAGACACTGGAAAAATGTAAAACATTTAGCACCCGACTCTTTTTAAGAGAATAAGAAGATTCTCTTTAAACAAGCCACTGATCGGCTTCACTGCTTGTACCCAGGCAAGTGGGATAAACTCAAATTAACCAGGAAGTGAAGAAGATGAGGCTTGTGTTGTGACTTCAGAGCGAAGCTATGGGTGTGTTACAACATGGGAACCCAGAAAGCAGCCATGCCTTGGTGCCTCGCCCTTTGAACATGTTCAAATGGGTGAGGTCAAGCGGGTGTAAGTGAATTAGTAGGCCACTGCTTTTGCTTACATGTGTGCAGACCTTCCCAACAAACCAGGAAGTAAAATCAGCTCTTGGAAGTAGGCTTCCTTAATGAGGAAAAAAATAACCCGGAAAGATTTTAAGTATCTGCCCAACCCAACAATGACTTTAATTTGTTTTTGTGCTTGTGGGGGGTTATTAGAGGCAGAGTCAGTATAATTATTGACAGTTACCAGGGTTTCGGCTTCATACAAAAAACAAAAGAAAAATAGTGCCAAAGATCCGACAAATTTTTTTTTAATGAAACCAGTTGATTTATTTTTGGTTATAGATCATTTTATTAATTTAATAATTAACATAATTTAATATAAATTTTGATCATTTAATTTAATAAACAGCCAAAATAGGTGTAATCACTTCAAAAGACCAACTTTGAGCCGATAAAAAACTCTGATAACAACTGGGTAATCTGAGTGTTCCTCATTAAATCCTTAAGAGTGGTAAAGGTCAATCATTTGAAAATAAGTAATCATACAAATCAATTTTATTTCTCTCAGAATGACATATATATATGTAAATATAGCTAATTATTAAATTAAATTCCAGGCCTTTTTTTGAGAACCAACTATGACATCACTGTTGAGCATGTATCCATTTCAGATTCTTTTTACATTTGCACATAGATACACCTTACCAGAGCTACCTTAATTTTCATGGCACACATTCATCCAGGTGCTTACGACTGGCCTCCTATCAGCTCGAAGCAATCAGGTTGTTCTCCTCTATGGTACTTTGAACCAGAGAATGGTTACTCACACTCACCTTCCTTTTTTACGACAGTGCTGAGATTATTGTAAACAATGGAGAATATGCTATGCTAAACAAACTATGTAATGACATCATTTCCCATCATTCCCGCACACACACACACACACACACACACACAGATAGACAGATAGATAGATAGATAGATAGATAGATAGATAGATAGATAGATAGATAGATAGATAGATAGATAGATAGATAGATAGATAGATTCGTTTTCTTATTGCCACATATCAAATAACCATTTAAATTTAATAACTACTTTCAATCTATCTATCTTATTGCACTTATCCAGTTCAGGGTTGCAGTGGGATATGCTACTTAGCCAAGCTGCAAAAAGGGCAAGAGCCAGGGTACACCTTGGACAGGTTGCCATTATGTCACTGTACTAAAATAGAGATACAGACAACCATTTTTACTCACATTCACACCTTTTGGCAGTTTAGAATCACCAATTGAACTAACATCACTACCAGGTTTTTGGACTGTCGGAAGAAGCCAGAGTACCCAAAGAGAACCCATGAGGAGAAGATGGTCACTAGATGGTGGATACAAACTCAGAACCTTCTTCTATGAGGCAACAGTGCTTACCACCATGCTGTGTGGCATTAGTGTGGCACATTGGTGGATGTTTATTTTAAACATTGCACGTATATTCAAGTAATCTCTATGTGCCAATAAAAAGCTTTAAATGCCTGATTTCTGACAGTTTTTCTACCCTTAAAACTGTATCATGTCAACAAGAAGGGATCTTTTTAAAATATTCATCTCAGATGCAAGAGATGAGAGATATATCTTAATTTTTAAATGACTCAAGCAGGTAGCAGACCCACCCACCTGCTTTTAGACTTTCTGTTTGCTTTTAGACTTCTTCTACAAGTTCTTCTACAAAAAACTTGTAGAAGAAGGGAAAACAGCTTCTTTTCTGGCAACGCAGGAACCAAAGAGCTACACTGAGGCCAAGTATGAGATAAATAATGATTACTTTGAACTCTGAATCATGCAAAGTTACTCTTTGACTATTTTATGACTTGATCTATTTAAACTACATACACCTGAAGACTTTTTTAACCAAGCCCAAACACCAGGAACATTTGGTTTAAAATTCTCTTGGTGGGGGTTATACACTGCACAAAGCACAAAACAGCCTGAAATCATGGTAAAAGAAGGTCAGCGAGCTGGGTGGTGGAAATGAGGGGCCTAGTATAAGATAAGGGTTAGTTGAAATCATGCAAAGCTACTTTAGTAGAATTAACATATAAAGAATAATAGGGCTCCTTAAATAATACAATCCTAAATACTATTATCTAATGAGCACAACATTTAATGCTAGTATGAGAGCTTTCGGAGTGGTGATATAAGCGTACTTGCATAAGTCACAAGCATTTCTTCTTTACCTCCTAAACTTTAGCTTCTTTTGAACAGTATCATTTTACACGTCTATGTTGGTCTTCGTCGTTTTAAAGCTAGCAGAAACGTGAGAAGCTCTAGCTTTTGGCCCCACAGGCTCTAAGTGAAGATGTCATGGCTACCAAGCAACATGTTAATAAACCCACCCAGCAGCCATTTAACAACTTCTTTCACTGTAAAACAACCCCGATACGTACAAAGCCACGCCGGGCTCCATTCATAGTACAGCTGATAACGGGTTTACATAAAGGAGTCCTCTTACCTTCAGCACTTGAAGCTCAGCGTGAAGAAGATGAAAAGGAATGTTCTGAACACATAATAATCCTCCTGTTGGTGAACTCGCAGTATTTGGATGTTCAAAAAAGGAGTGAAAAGTTGCGCAGCGATCAGGTTTTCAAACCAAAAGTGTTCTCTTCAAGGAACAAGACTGACTTTCTCAGAGTTGTTAGTGTTTCCCAGGACAACTCAATGGGGAGGAGTCAGCACGAGGACTATTAAAAGCTCAGTGGTTTGTTTTTCATGGAGTAGACTTTCAGACAAGAGGAAGTCAGTGTAAACTCGTGAGGGGGGGCTTGAGTAACTTTAGTGATTTCCCAAAAATTACTTCGAGAGGGAACTAATATTGTGAAACGGTCACTGTCCGGGTTTGTGAAAAAGTATCGTGGTCGGTCCCCAGAGTCGAAATGAAAAAGCGGAGGAAGCTGGAAAGATCAGATTAACATCCCGTCTGTGCTTTTCACAATAAAGGAACACGAACCCTGCACGCTACTAGGACCAAGGTGTCATGGACCGCATACCACCGAACTAATAACTAGATCACTGAATGAAAACACATTCAAAGTTACTTCGGAAAACGTGAAAATGAAAACTACGTGAAAGTCTGTGTCATAAATGAGAAAGGAATATATGAGAAGGACTTTTCATTTTTATTTTGAGAATAAAGTTGAAATTGTGATAGCTATGAAAATAAAACATATGGGTGGAGCTGAAATATTGCTTTGAGAATAAAGTCAAAATCTCGGAATAAATGTGAAAAGTTACATCCAGAAGAAACAGTAGTTTTTTTTTCTTTCAAAATTAAAGCTGAAATCACAAGACTAAAACTCAAATATTAAGATAATCAAGGAAATGTTACCGGTGTTAAGTCAAATTAGGGGCAGCTAGTGCACAGCTCCCCAGAAAAATGCCTTGTGCTTAAAAATCATTTAATCATTTGGATAGATCCAAAAAAAAAAGTACTTTAAACTATCAAGACATTTACATTACTGTATAGTAACAGAACAGGAATAGTAATGCGTTTAGTAACAGTAATGCATGCAAATGATTTGAAGGATGACTGCATCCAGTGGTTTCCAGTGTGTTTGACACCGCCTGCTCTGGGAGACATCGTCTTAAATACAAACACACAAACGATAATGGTTTGGCATCACTTTGCCATGTATCTGAATGAATTTTTAAACTTAGAAACTGAAATTTGTTTGTATGGCCCAATGCAATAGTCTGTATTGCATTTTTCTAATGGAATGGTTGGGAGTACTACAACATTTATTGGTCCTATGATGGGTCAGATTATTTGGGAATGATGTCACTTACATGGCAATTATTGGAACTTGCAACATAATTGTATATTTATTTTTATTTTTCAGTACAACTGTCATGCATTTCCCAACACTCAACACTGACAGCAGATCATAATCAGAATTTTTTTTTAAAAAAAAATAGTGCTTGAAACTGCACATCCACAACATACACACACAAAGCACTTTGCTCTGTGTAACACCAGGGAAACACTTATTCAAAGTTTCTATTTTCGATTTTCATTCAGTAAAAAGAAATAAAATAACTTTATAGTTCACAAATTGTCATTAGTAGAAACTAGAAGAAAGGGGGTAACTTTGATTTTGTTTTATACAGTAAAATTCATCAGCATATTGAAAATTTAACTACCCAAAACATAATCACACAAATCCAGATGATTTAACTATAAATGTAATCTTGTAGTTACTAATTTATTTGTAGTCAAATACGCTGAAACCATAGCAAACCCCATCTTCCACCATATAAACTTTTATTTTGAAGGGAGCGCCTCAAGCCACTAACCTTAACCACTAACTGCTGCTCAGCTGACAGACAGTGATCCTACACTGCTTTCTGTAATAAGGCTAAAGAAGAAATTAAGTGAAGGTTGCTGCACATTTTGCTTAATTTAAGTTGTAGCTTCTCTGAACTACAGTGACCTTTATATGCTGGGCGGACTCTACTTTTCTATTATTACTTTGCTGAAGTCACAGAACTGCTCTGCACAGGGCTGCTATAAATCACGTCTTGTAGCAACATTAGTTGTAAGTAACGCTACACAGAGATTAAAATGCATTACACAAAGACACTGAATTCATTTGATCCATGCTGGTTGCATGCCATACAGTACGGTAAAGGTCACTGATTCCAAACACATTAAGCTTCCTTTCTTGCTTTCCCCTTTTTCAGTTTGGTAATGTATCAAAAAGTGATCTATGATTTAGACTATCTATGATCTATGATTTGGACTCAGTGATGAGAGGTGAAAAGTACAATCTCCTGACATTACATTGTGAATCACAGGCGCTTTCATTTTTCAGCAGTGCAAACATTAGGTAGATGCTTATAATGTAGAACAGCGAGTTTCAGTGTTGTCTCATCATGACTGCAAATCCCTTCCAGGCAGAGGGGCGAAAAAAAACTCCTGTGGTTTCAGCTGCCCTCTGCAGGCACAGGAGGTTTTCTGCAAGGATCTCTGTTCCCAACACATTATATACAATATACTGGTAAAGGAATGCTGTTTGAAACTTTTATAACACCCCCCTCCAAAATGCTGGAAACGCAAACATAAGTAGTTTCCAAACCCATGAAATACATTAGTCTCTTTCTGTGTTAAATGTCAACAGAAAGAAAGAAAAAAAAAGAGCACAAAAAACAAGACCTTGTGTGCTCGGTTTACTCAGTCTTGTAAAGAATGCAGTGTTTAGAATAACCTTAACTTTCTTATACATACTGATACAAAGCAGGGCAGCACTGAAAAGGAGCTTTCATTCCCTCTGGCTTAAGCCGGCCAGATTTATAAATAAATAAATGTATGTTGTTTGTGACTTCTATTATTTGCCTTCGGGCATCAACAAAATGAATTAGAGCTTGCAAATACCATCACATATCCTCATTCAAAAAAAGGATAATGCATGCTTATGTGTTTAAAATCAAGCCAGAGTTATTTCTGGATCTTTAGAATGACATGAACTGAGCTAATGAAAAAAAATTACTGTTTTTCAGCTGAGCCTTGCTGGCATGTGAGGCCACACTTCCGGATGGAATCACTTTTAATAATGTCACAGTGTCCCTGGGGCAGGAAAAAAGAAATCTTGATAAGAGAAAATCTTTTAAAAAGAAAATCTACTGTGTAACTTCATGAACCAACTAAGAGTCTAGATAGATGACTGGCTGCCTGTATGGACAGACTGACCCGTCAGAATGAAAAAAATATTTCTGACTATCAGTTCCCAGCTCAGAATTTGAGTTTGAGGCTGTTTCTCTCCATCCATAGATTATCTGCTGTTATGGATCACAGCTGTGACAAAAGCATTACTGATAAATCAGACCACTCTGCTGCCTTGTGCAAGTAAATGTCTCTTGCCAGAAAGAGAAAATCACAATAAATACCCCATAATCTCCAATGGTGTGTCTTTGGCTGCAGCAGAACCGGATGGATAGATGGGTGTAAAATAAATAAAACATTTTTAGACTAAATTTCTGCACAATTCTGGGAATCGTGGGTTATTGTGCTTCCATTTTTGTCGTTTCACAAAAATGAAAATACTGATCACGCTGAAAAAGATGAAAGCTTTAATGTCATAAACATGCATATAAAAACACTAGAAACTAGAAAATGTTTAAATATTTAATGCTGAACCTGAAATAAAAGCTATCAAGATTTTACCTGAAACTCATACAAAGACATAAAACTTACTACCATCTTTAAAGCTCACCTTTCTGCACAGACGCTGGTATCTGGCACCTCATCAAACACATGCGTACGGTGTCATCAACACAACAGGCGTACTCTTTCCATCACTGTACGTGAAATTGAACCGCATAAAAGTTGTTTTGGAGGCCCAGCAGGGATCCAGGCCTCCCAGCCATCACAAGCATCTGGGCTCGGAGCTACGCCTCTCTCCTGCACCTGTAACCAGCCGAGGGTTAGATAAATGGCAGGTGGTATTGAAAAGGGTCCCCATTCACAGCCATACCGAGCTGCACTTAGACACATTATTGCAGCCTGGAGGAGGAGTGGAGGGATGTGGGGAGAATGATGAAGCAGGCGCGGTCTACAGAGTGCCAGAACATGAGTGACACGGGGTAACAAGCATGACACAAAGAAGTACATAGCTGCCTTTGTGTGGTGATAAAAGAAGGTTTTGTAAGTTGGAGGATTTGGATGGAAGAGATAGAGCTGGAAAAAAAAGCCCCATCCTGAGTAAACACTTGGACAGAGAGACAAAAACGCACTAGTTGCAAGAGGAGGGAGGAGGTGGCAAAGAGAGGAGTGAGAGGCATATCATTTGGCTGAAGTGCCTTCACTGCCTCACAGCTCAGTGGAAGGACCCTCTCACTCAGCACCAGTGTCCACAAGTCTTTTAACTCTGACCTTTGTTGTTTACATACAGTTAAAGCTACACTGGGAAATGTTTGCAGTCCAAACAGCCACAGTGGGGGAGATGTTTGAAAGTGTTTTTAATACTCAAGGTCAATTTAGCAGCTCTTTTGTTTGTGGTTTTTAAATTTATAAACACATAACGCTCCAGGGATCTTGCTTGAGGTTCAGTTTTTAGTTTTAACCTTGTTTAACAAAGCAGTCATAGCTGCCAATTTACAAAAACTGACTCCACAGGACACTCGTGCATACAGCTCATCTAAGCCACTTGAGGCTACCTTAAAAAGTCATTCAGTCCACACAGACCCCAGTGTTAGAAAGCTCACCTTCAAGACCCAGCTGCACAGACCTAGATTTCAGATGATGACCCCCCCTGGAAACCCCAAATCTGTATAACCTCCAGCATCTGATAAATAAATAATGAATATATATAAACCACCGGTTCCCAAGGGTCTCCAACCAGTCTCTAGACCTTTGTGTCTGGGACTTTACAGTAGAAATAAAACATGCTTATACTACAAAACGGTATTCTCCATAGCTATACAATAGGGAATTTATTTGCTGAGGCATCTATTTAGTTAATAAAAGGTTTAAAGTAAGGAATGTGGCCACTCCAAGTGACTAGACTGCTAAATCTTTTTCAAAAATGACCTGAGCTTATTTGAGGCACTGAATTGGACTGCCTGTGTTTGAAGTGTTGATGGCGATTTCAAACATATTAAATGCAACTGCCTGACAAATAGCATGGCAAGTTGTGTGGTTAATTATAATTAACTGCCTCGACAGCCAGCCAAAGAGGTCTGTGTTCCAGGTTGGACAAATGAAATTGTAATATTTTACTGTTACGTTACTTACAATTAATTAGAAGGTGTCTGAAGGTGCAGTGTGCTAAGAAAGCTTGCAAGCCACAACTAAAACCGCATCGCAGCCAGATATGGTTACCTTTAGGTAAAAAACTAAACAAAACAGGAAATTAC